GGGTGGGTGCCCAATTGGTCCTGGGGAGGAATTCGCTCAGCCACAGGAGCCAGAAAGGTGCTTAATAGTGTAGTACACTGTCACAAGGGTGGATGACCTTTCACGAGTTCATGCACTACTGTTCGTGGTTATATTTATCTTGTGTAATACCATTTTAGTAGTCTATATAATTTGACCAGCGCTCGCTTTATCATTTTTAAACAATGTAACTATTCTACTATGTATCTCAAACTGTGTCTCCCACAGTGGTTAGAGCTCAGAACACACAGCGCTTGGGTCATGGGTTCTAATCCCAGTATGCATGCTTTCCCTGTATGGATGCGTTTCTGCCAACACTCAAAAGAAATGCTGTTAAATTCATTGGACCTTGTTACATGGCTGAGTTTCTGCCCTTAGATTATAAGCTCCTTGACATTAATGAACGTTAAAAAAATGGAGATCAATTTTCTGGGTTGTGTCAGGAATATTGATCAATCAATTATGATTTTGCCTAATGACTAGAAAGTGGTTGAATGTTACCTGCGTCCTGTTCTTCTGCCAATTAGGAAATGTGCAAGTTTCATGCTGTGTATATTTCATTGTAACTTTTTTCTCTTCTTTTAAATCTGTCTCCTTATACAACTTGACCCCCTCCCCCACCCCATCATCACCTGTCCCATATGCAAATCTATGGATCACCGCCCCACTCTTTTTAACGATTTACTGATCAAGTGAATGTGTCTCATTTTCTATCAGCTACAGCTCAGATCTCACATTAATATACGATTGCTGATTGTATATCACCACTAGTCTGATTGAATTCACAATCCCTGGTCAGTCCCGTTCCCTTACCTCTAATAATCTTTAGGACCAGTTCACACTACATGTGTTTCAGTTGCTTTTTCGGCATCACAAACGCACAGAAAGAAGGTTATATGGTTGTCAATGTCATAGGTCACATCAGTGTATTGCAGGCGCTGTAAACAAAGTTGAACACGCTGCATTGTTTCTGCACAGAACTGTACTGGAACACGTTGAAATGTCCTTGAATGTACTAAAAAACGCACATGTCCCTAATTAAATTGAATAAAAAAAAAGTAGAAAAAACTAACTGGAAGGGATACAAAAATGCAATACAACGTGTCCAAAACGCAACCTGTTACACTATGGGGACACAGCAGCTGTATGAACACTGGTTTTAATCTGACAGGTGTGAAGGCATGGGAAGTGGCCCTGAATGCTCACTGTCTGTGTTCAGGGCTGTACACCTGCACCCATATGCTTGTCAAATTATGACCTGCAGCAATTCCAGTAGTGTAACATAGGTTGCCTTCAAACGGCGATAGCCACAAAAACAAACCACTGATTCCCATTCTACAGGCCACAGCACCCATGAGCCCCAAAACCTCAATTACACCTCAATTACACACACAGCTTTATTTATGAACTCAGTACAGTTTTATCATTTAGATTTCACAGGAATATGGTTGGGATTATGTCCATTAATAATGTTTTTAGTGTATTTTTACCATAAATATAATTTGGATATTTTCTCTGGCGGTGGGGGGGCTGTCAGGTATGCTATATGGGGCCCTATGATATCTAACAGTGGCCCTGGGTGTATGCTTGTGTCTGTGCCACCTGTATAGTTAGGAAGAACCTTGAACCTCTGCTATGTACCTCAATGGATCTAGGAATTGGACATGTTTTCAACTGAAAATACAACAATTATTAGTAATGTTTCCCCAGCAAATGAGGAAAAGCTCCTCGGTGGAGAACAGCCGATCTCGCCATGTCCAGATGTGGTCTGGAATTCCACAAAAGAACAATTCACAAAACTAAAAAATAGACTTGAAAATTACCACTAAACTCTCCTAACTACACTCCCATCCACTCACACTCCCCACTTCCACTTCCGGGTGTGTGCAAACGTCCTTCCGCAAACGTCATGACGTATTTCCAGTATGACAGCTGCTCTAGCGCCTCCTCCAACGGCCGTCTTGGCGTTTATTTGTGCACCATAGCAATTTTACATGCGGTTCCATTGTGAATATGACATTCGCAAAATATGTTTGCAGTTCTATTGTAGATTTGGCATTGGTGAATGTATGCTTGCAGCTATACTGTGTATATGAGATTGGCGAATATATATTTGCCAGTAAAGGCCCAAAGTCAACATAAATTGGGGGCCCAATTTATTACTGTTAAGAGGATTGTAAAAAGAATAGCTAGCTGCACACTGAACACGACCTATTCATTGGTACAGAACATGGTCTTGTCGTGCAATAGGGGGCTTTTGGTTTGTTATTTTGGACATACTTGCACATGTGCGCTCTAACAAGGAAGATTTGGGCATATTATATAGCTAGCAAAAATAAGTGGTAGGGGTGCTAGTACATTTCATATACTTATATAGTGCTGTCAATTTACGCAGCGCTTTACATATAGATGTGGTAAATTCACATCAGTCCCTAACCCTCAAGGGGCGTACTAAGAGCCCTAACTTACATTCATACATATACTAGGGCCAATTTTGACAGGATCCAATTAACCTACCAGCATGTCTTTAGAGTGTGGGAGGAAACCGGAGTACCCGGAGGAAACACAGGCACAGGGAGAACATGCAAACTCCAGGCAGGAGGTGCCGTGGCTGGGATTCGAACCAACGACCCTAATGCTGCCAGGTGGAAGTGCTAACCATTTAGCCACTGTGCAACATTCAACTAGAACATGTGAAATAATCCCCCCAAAAAATACATAGTACAAATGTTTATTGATCAAATACACATTCCACATTTGGACAGCAAACAAAAAGCTACATTCAATATCTTGGTGTAAACAAAAAAAACCCAAAAAAACCACAGGATTGATGTTGCTAAAATAGAACGGTCCTGCTCATAAGAGCTTACAATCTAAAAGATTTACACTTATAATGAACTGTGCTTTCACAGGTTACAGCAGGAAACAAACAGATTAATATCATTTGGGCTTATTCACAAAACAAGCTGCAGATCGAAATATCAATATAAAAATACATACGTGCCAAAATAACACCTCCCCAAATCCCCCACACATACATTTCTCACCATGTTTGTCTGAAAACTGCATTTCATTCTAAATAAAGCAAATTTGGAAGAACAGAGCAATGGACATGTGTTAGGATTACAATGCAAAGATAATAAACACAATCATTGTACAATAATGCACAAACACACACCTTAGAAGGAAGAACATGCAAAACATTACAGCCCACATCAAAACACTGCGCGAGTGTGGCCTGGGGCAATTCACCACAAGATCTCTTCCTCCCCCAAACCACCACAGACAAGGACATGCAGAAATAATGTGCCTGTACAAGGCAAAAATCAGCCCCAACTGCATCTCCTTATATAAGGTAGGCCACACCCACCCACCACTGTCATTCATTTGTTTAGAGAAAGTGTTTGCACCTGATGAATCCTCTTCCCACTTGCGTTAACCCTTGGTATACAGGCCCCACAAATCAGAGTCAGAAAGAAAGCCACAGTGACGTGTACCTGTACAGCATACAACAGAACATTGAACAGGGATGTGAAAGGGAGCCCTATTGGTAATATTTCTTGGCCCTATGGGCACAATTCACTCCAGATTATCGCATGAGTTAAGGCAGTCAGATGCCCACATCTCGCATGCAATACTGAAAATGTCAATTCACTTTTGCTAGTATGCGGCATTTCCCATAAATCGGAAAAACACTCAGGAAATCAAACATAAAAAGGCCTTACACTGCGGTCACATCTAAGCCCATTTAGAAATTGTGCGACGTACAATGAAGATGCTGATTTCCTTACGATTTGAAAGACATCTGACACAGATATCTATGCAAATCGTCACAAAAGTAGTACATGTACTACTTGAGAAATCAGTGTCGGAAACGCACCCGTGTGACTGCTCTAATAGCAGACAATAGGGTGCGACTTGACATACAATTTGCAAGTCGCATGCCATGCAAATCGCATGCCAAGTCACATCCAGGATACACGATTTCAGGTGCAATTTGGGAATTGAAATTGTACCCAATATCTGATCTAATGAATGTGGATGTGAGTGTCTTAACGTAAGCGATTTGCTGCAGCACAATTTCAAAAGTAGTTCTCGTCTAACTTTTTCAGCATTTTGTAGTGATTTCACATATAGACTACAATAGAAATCGCAATGCAAAACACAATAGAAAACGCAATAACTCATTGGTAAATCTACAAAAACACGGTGAAATTGCCAACAAAAAGCACAATTTTTAAATCACATCTAGTGTGAACCAAGCAGGCAATTCAACAAAGGAAATAAATCTTTGAAGGCAGATAAGGGTCTGTTATGGATTGGGGGGGGGCTCCATGACATTATTTAATTTTTTTTTTTTAATCCATTTCTTTCGCTCACTCTTCTCATGGTTTAACAAACTTTCCCAAAAGGATGGGTGGAGTGCAAACCAGCATTATCCAATCAATCATTAGTCCAGGCCCTTATCTCATCCCATCATTTGACATTCACATAAGGTGCTACTTTAACATCCCTAGCGGTATGATTATTTCAGATTTTTGGTGCTGAAAGCGGTACCATTATTTTGCATGGAAATATGTAGTTTTTTTTATTGTAGGCTGTAATATTTAGGAATAACTCACTGAAATCTGTCTGAACAAGAGTCTATTAAACATCCCGGGTAGGATAAAAATTTGAAACACAAAATCATAAATTATAATTTAATAATCATAAAAAAAATAATAATATAATAATACATTTAATTCAATAATATAATCAAAGCAAAAACACTGAAATTTGAAATATAGCGCCAAGTTCGCACATCACTGAGCAAAGTCGCAAAATCGTTTTCAGTGTCTGATGACGAATTTCTCCACGAATCATTATCACTCAATTCTGCAAGTAGTTCTGATTTACTATCGCTGTTTCTCTAGCTGATCTAAACCCGCTTTTGACCTAAAGGGACACTTTTTGGACGCCATGGACTTTTCTAAGTTTCCAGGCAGAAAGAACAGTCAAAATGCAGACAGGGACAGGACAGAGCACTAGAGACAAAATGTATGTGAAATGGGTTGAAACAGCAATGTTTTACTATGTAAAATCATTTTGAAAAAAGACATTTTAAAAAATTTTCAAATTTCCCGCCGCCGCGCCCGTACATCCCGACGTCACAGGGACCGGAACACAAGAGCCGGATGCCGGCAGCAGCCAGAGGAGATGGCCGGGGACGCTGCAGGGGAGACACCGCGGGAGCGAAGGACAAGGAAAGTGCTGCAGGGACTCCCTATGCAGCGCCGCATGGTAAAGCCCGAGTGTAGCTCGGGGTTACCGCTTTTGGTACAGACATTTTACCCAGAGCTACACTCGGGAATACCGTTAGGGAGGTTAAAGGTGTTTGAACAGACAAGGCCTCATTCTAATTCACATTCTAGGGATCATTTAAACAGAAAGCAAAGATGCTGCCACCAGCACATGTATGTTAGGGTAGTCATACAGAGATCATGCAAATTCATTGCTGTGGTTGGGATTCAAACCAACAACCCTAGTGTTGTGAGACAGTAGTGCTAACCACTAATCCACGGAGCTGTTGAACACTAATCCTGCCTGTATTTCTGTGGTGTGAATCAATCCTAAATCCCTGGGCAAGGTCAGTGTAACTAGCCAGAGATCTCAAATGTGACATAAATGTTGTGCTATGTTGCCAATTCAGATGTATGTTGGTTCTATGTATCCCAATACAAAGGATTGCAATACTAATACAGGCGTACCTCGGTTTACCAATGCCTCGGTTAACGTAATTTTCAGTTTACGAATGAAAATCCATTGAAAATAATGCCTCGGCTTACACAATTGTGAATTTTTTTTCGCAATACAAAGTGTATGTCGGCGCTGATTTTCAAATGCAAATGCCAGCCTTTTTTTTTTCTTCACTATAGTTCACAAGCTTAGAAGTCACTTTCCCTGAAGTTACAGAAAACTTTGTATCTTTTAATAAACTCAAAGTAAACATTGTTTCCTTTAGGGATATAAATTCCAAGAAAACCTTCTCTTTTAGCTGGGGGAAGTGACAGGTGAATTTCTGAGCTATAGTGAAGAAAAAAAGGGAAAATTACATTTAAAAACCAGCACCATAATAAATAAAAAATGGCATGGGGTCCCCCCTCCCATCCACACCAAGCCCTTTGGGTCTGGTATGGATATTAAAGGGTAACTCCACGCTGAAATTAAAAAAAAAAAAAACAGCTAGGGGATCCCCCCAAAATCCATACCAGACCCTTATCCGAGCATGCAGCCCGGCAGGTCAGGAAAGGGGGGGGGGGGGGGAAGAGCGAGCGCCCCCCCCTCCTGAACCATACCAGGCCACATGCCCTCAACATGGGGGGGTGCTTTAGGGGCAGGGGGGGCTCCCCCCCAAAGCACCTTGTCCCCATGTTAATGGGGACAAGGGCCTCTTCCGTTAGTGGGATAATTGGTCGCCCCCACCATTTTTTGGGATTTTAGCATATTTTGTTTATCAGTAAAGTTGGAAATTTTTTTTTCCCAAATTTACTGATAAAAAAAAATGTGCCAAAATCCCGAAAAACAGCCGACCAATTAACCCACTAACGGCCCGAAAATCGTTCGATTTTTTTTTTCGGCAGAAAAATCGGTCGATTTTAGACCCATCTATAGCCTGCTTTAGATGGGTCAAAAATCGGCCGGAAAAAAAAAAAAAAAAAAAAAAAAAAAAAAAAAAAAAAAAAAAAAAAAAAAAAAAAAAAAAAAAAAAAAAAAATCGGCTGATTTTCGGGCCGTTAGTGTGTAATTGGTCAGCCATTTTTGGGGATTTTGCCACTTTTTTTAATGGGTAAATTTGGATAAAAACGGCAATGATCGGCAAATTGGCTGATCTTTATACAGATAAAAAATCTGCGCATGAGCCGTGACCTGCAAGAAAAAGAAAAAGAAGAAAATGAAGAAGAATAAAAAAAAATAAGAAACAGAAGAAAAAGAAAAATGCAGGCCATAGATGGGGCAAAAACTGACCGTTTAAAAAAAAAAAGAAAAAAAAAAAAAAAAAAGAAAAATCAGTTGTTTAATGGGCCGACGTTACCACCAACGGTAAAAAAAATTGTCCGATTTTCGCCCGGTCTACGGCCGGCAAATATAATAGCGAAGTAATTCCTTCTGTCCCTGCAGAGAGCTGCGCTATTATATTTGACATTAAAAGTATAAAGGTTGCAACATTGTATCTATATGTATCCGAATAAAAACATCTACTGTATATCCGAAATGGATACAAATAGATACAATGTTGCAGTCTCTATACTTTTTTAATGTCAAATATAATAGCGGAGCTCTCTGCAGGGACAGAAGGAATGTTTCAGCTGTCATCGGGGTTTTCCCACTGACAGCTGAATTTTAAATTATTTCCGTGAATTAAATAAATAATAAAAAAAACTGCGTGGGGTCCCCCCTCCCATCCATACCAAGCCCTTCGGGTCTGGTATGGATGTTAAGGGGTAACTCCATGCCAAAAATTAAAAAAAAAAAAAGCGTGGAGTACCCCCCAATATCCATACCAGACCCTTATCCGAGCATGCAGCCCGGCAGGTCAGGAAAGGGGGGGTGGACGAGCGAGCGCCTCAACATGGGGGGGGTGCTTTGGGGCAGGGGGCTCCCCCCCAAAGCACCTTGTCCCCATGTCGGTGGGGACAAGGGCCTCTTCCCCATAACCCTGGCCGGTGGTTGTGGGGGTCTGCGGGCGGGGGGCTTATCAGAATCCATGTTCCCGCGACTCATTCACAAAAAGTGTGGTGTAAAAAAAAAAACACAGTACAGGGTCTTTGACAAGTCCTTTATTAAAACAATGTCCCCCGAAGTAGATCCAACGTCAATCACGGCGGCGGCCCGAGAAAAAAAAAAAAGTTCCACTCCCATCGGAGGCTTCCAGCCTTGTGAAAAAAAGGCTAGCCGGGAACAGCAAGCATGTGACATGGGGCAGGGTCACTCGGATGATGTCCCCGGCTGGCCCCGCCCCATACCTATATAAGAACTGTCAGACTGTCTCCTGCATTCAGCTAGTTAGCCTCAGTGGAGAGACAGGGTGACAGTTCTTAAATAGGTAAGGGGCGGGGATGATGTCCCCGGCTGGCCCCGCCCCTTACCTATTTAAGAACTGTCAGCTAGCCTTTTTTTTCACAAGGCTGGAAGCCTCCGACGGGAGCGGAACTTTTTTTTTATTTTTTCAGGTCACCGCTGCCGCCGTGATTGACGTTGGATCTACTTCGGGGGGACATTGTCAAAGACCCTGTACTGTATTTTTTTTTACACCACACTTTGTTTTTTTGTGAATGAGTCGCGGGACCATGTACCGCAGACTCATTCATGTAGGGGGGGCCAGGATTTGGGAGCCCCCTTGTTAAAGGGGGCTTCCAGATTCTGATAAGCCCCCCACCCGCAGACCCCCACAACCACCGGCCAGGGTTGTGGGGAAGAGGCCCTTGTCCCCATCGACATGGGGACAAGGTGCTTTGGGGGGGAGCCCCCCCTGCTTCAAAAGCACCCCCCCATGTTGAGGGCATGTGGCCTGGTATGGTTCAGGAGGGGGGGCGCTCGCTCGTCACCCCCCCTTTCCCGACCTGCATACTCAGATAAGGGTCTGGTATGGCTATTGAGGGGGACCCACGCTTTTTTTTTTTTTTTAAATTTCAGCGTGGCGTTCCCCCTTAATATCCATACCAGACCTGAAGGGCTTGGTATGGATGAGAAGGGGGACCCACGCTGTTTGTTTTTTTTTTTTTTATTGCGGACATTTATTTTTACATTCAGCTGTCAAAATACAGTTGCAAGAAAAAGTTTGTGAACCCCTTGGGATTATGTGGAATTTTGTATGAATTGGGCATAAAATGTGCTCTGAACGTCATCTAAGTCACAACAATACAAGAACACAGTTTGCTGAACAGAATACTACACAAACATTAGATGTTGCCATGGTTTAATTGCACATAACATTTAAACATTCACAGTGCAGGGAGGAAAAAGTATGTGAGGCCCTAGCTTAATGACTTCTCCCAGAGCTAATTGGAGCCAGGAGTGAGCCAACTTTGACTCCAATCAGTGTGATGATATTGGATGTGTTGCTGACAGCTGTCCTGCCCTTAAAAAACACACACCTGTTTTGGGTTTACTGGTTTCAAGAAGCACTGTCTGATGTGAACCATGCCTTGCAGAAAAGAGCTCTCAGAAGACCTACGATCAAGAATTGTTGACTTGCATGAAGCTGGAAAGGGTTACAAAAGTATCTCCAAAAGCCTTGATGTTCATGTGTCCACGGTAAGACAGACTGTCTACAAATGGAGAAAGTTTAGCACTGTTGCTACTCTCTCCCCTAGGCGTGGTCGTCCTGTAAAAATGACTGCAAGAGCACAGCGCAGAATGCTGCATGAGGTAAAGAAGAATCCCAGAGTGTCAGCTAAAGACCTACAGAAATCTCTGGCACATGCTAACATTTTTGTTGACACATCTACAATAAGGAAAACATTAAACAAGAATGGAGTACATGGGAGGACACCACGGAGGAAGCCATTGCTGTCCAAAAAGAATATTGCAGCATGTTTGAAGTTTGCAAAAGAGCACCTGGATGTTCCACAGCACTACTGGCAAAATATACTGTGGACAGATGAAACCAAGATTGAGTTGTTTGGGGAAGAACACACAACACTATGTGTGGAGAAAAAAAAGGTACAGCACACCAACATCAAAACCTCATCCCCACTGTAAAACATGGCGGAGGGAGCATCATGGATTGAGGCTGCTTTGCTGCCTCAGGGCCTGGACGGATTGTTGTCATTGATGGGAAAATGAATTCCAGAGTTTATCAAGACATTTTGCAGGAAAATGTACGACCATCTGTCCGCCAACTGAAGCTCCGCAGAGGATGGGTGATGCAACAGGACAATGACCCAAAGCATACAAGTAATTCAATAAAACAATGGCTGCAACAGCACAGAATATGCCTTCTGGAGTGACCCAGTCAGAGTCCTGACCTCAACTCGATTCAAATGCTGTGGCATGACCTTAAGAGAGCGATTCACACCAGACATCCCAAGAATATTGCTACACTGAAACAGTTTTGTGAAGAGGAGTGGTCCAAAATTACTCCAGATTGTTGTGCAGGTCTGATCTGCAACTACAGGAATTGTTTGGTTGAGGTTATTGCTGCCAAAGGAGGGTCAACCAGTTATTAAGTCCAAAGGTTCACATACTTTTTCCTCCCGGCACTGTGAATGTTTAAATGTTATGTGCAATTAAACCATGGCAACATCTAATGTTTGTGTAGTATTATGTTCAGCAGACTGTGTTCTT